TGTGAATTTGTCAAATAATAATTATTAGATAAATATTATATGGGAGTAAGTCGTTATAATTGATATTAGAATTGAAAATTGAAATACCCTACAATTAATCATGGTGCTCTTTGATTGCCCGGTTTCATATATATATATATATGAATTGCTAGTGATGAGATTAAGAATTTTTGAGCCAACTATTTGGTGCACTTACAAGCAATGCACAAAAACTCGAATCTTTATTACCGGGACTTGATAACATACTTTACATAAAATGACCAAGTCTGTCCAACCCCCAATCTGTAGAAAAGGCATTTGAATACTGTGGTCAATTTTCTCCTAATGCTTCACCTGCACTGGTTATTTACAGGTAACCCAGCAGTCTGTATGTTGCATGAAAACGATCGAATATTATGAATATATTATTGACGACGTGTTATGGAAATTTGAAGGGTGCATTATTGACGACGTGTTATGGATTTGTTTTCACTATTCTAAAAACAGTGTTTTAAATATATGTTGTCAAAAACAACATTTGAAGTAAATATATATTCTCTTGTTTCTTATACGATTTTATCTTCATATGGTTTTGCTAATTGTTTAGCTCCTAGTATACGCAAACTCATTCTTTTTGTGATCGATGATTATGTGGGGCTAATTAAGCTCATTACTATTTAAGTGTTTTTGTTTTTCTTTCACTTTTCAATAAAATTTGCTTTACTCTAGTGATGTTCCCATTGATCACCGTCGACAACTATGACGTCTGAAGTAATTGCTGTCTCACCTTTTTCTTGATTAAAAGGGAAAAATTGATTGATCAAATTGATCGTTTTCTGAATTGTCATACTTCAAAACTAGAAGGATGAGATTGTAGCGTTTTCTGTACTAATTAAGAGCAGTTTTTAAAAGGTGTTAACCAAAACTATCTATATCACAGTGTCGGCAATCAACCATTAGAAACAAATAAAATAGTTCGTTTGTAAAAAAATTATATTAACCGATTGAGCTCATGCTTTATATTCCATTGATCACACATGTGATGATCTAAATATATATTTTAAGAAACTCTGCCATCTTGGACAATTTTCTTATTCTTTTGGAGCCTGCAATTCAATATGAAAACTTCTAGCATGTTATAATCATTCCTTCCAGCTTACAAGAATATTCATGAGAATTAATGCTTTTCTCTTTGATTACTTTAAGTCTTTAACTAGACCTTTTTTTTTTTTTTCATAAGATATGAAGAAGTTTATGCGCAATTGAAAATTCAAATGTGTTTTGGTTTTATCTGTTTAAAGAGCTGAAAGCTTCATGTGCATCTAGGATTCTTTATAAAGATTCTTCACGTCGTGAATTTTAAAAGCGACAAGAATATAATTACCTATCTACTGTATTTAAAAACACATCACACACAAGATTGCATACAATACAGAAAACAAAACATTATAAAAGTGAATGCATTGCTATAGACCTCAACTGTTTTTATGATGGGAAATTACCTGAAGTAAGCAGCAAACAGTGGACAAATTGAAAATTAGATGGACTCATTTCACAAATAATCTAAGCAATTAATTCTTTTCCAAATCAGATTCTTGGGTCCATTTAATGGAGTCTACGACAAATGAATGTGATAATTGATATTTTTTTCTGGGAAGGGATGTAGGTGACTGCCTATTATTATCTGTTTATTCACGAAAAAGCTGACTGAAGGACCCAAAATGACCTAATCATCACCTGAAACTTGGACTCCTAGTCTCAGTCATTCTGATAAAAGTGTTTTTAGCTCCATGCTTCTAGTCTCGAGCATTTATGATAAAAGTGTTCTGAGCTCCATGCATGATATGGATGAGCTGGAAGCAAAAAGTGCAAAAAGTTCTATGATCAAATCATACTTGTTAATAAAACAAACGAACAGGTGGTGGGGGATCACACGCCTGACTTTTTAATCAGATATTTTTGGTGCTACATTGTTTCGACAATATCTGGTTTCAATCTATATCGATAACTTTTAATTAAATATTGAAATTGGAGCACATGGACAACCTGTTCTTTTGACAGCAGGCCGAGCATGATTGCCTAATTGATGAGAAGCTTCAAAAGTGTTGAGATTTCTTTTTCTTTGCTTTGTTTTACTCAAACAAGTTGTTGGTTGAGTGGAGGAGGGTAACCGGAATTCTCATTTTATCCCCCAAAAAGGAAAAAGTTCGTTTTGGACTAGCTCGAACAGTTAACGCATCATCCATTCGTGTAAGTATTAAGGTGATGTTTGATTTGTGGATTAGAAATTGATGGAATGAAAGTATTATGAATGAATATAATGAAATTACTTTGTTAGTAGGAAACTAAATAACAAAAGCTTAAGCAATGTTGAAGCCTCGAAGTTGAAGGTGAAGGGAGTATACTTAATGGAGTACAGTAGAGCAGCAGTAATGATACTGGTGAATGTAGGGTGCTACTAGGGCCATGCATGGTTCATTAAGATCCTTTAAAATATAAGTTAATGTAATGTCAATTGTGGCCAGGTCACAGGCGTGATTCCAAACACATCAATCAATTAATTAATTAATTAAAAACATCAATGGACATGAAAGAAAAGATACGGTCAAGTCTTCCATCTCAATCACTTTCTGGTTTCTGCACAAACTTTGTCCTTGTTCCCTCTCTATAATTCGTTTTTACTGATAATATTTCGTTTTTACTGTTGTTTGATATACGGTACAGTGGTTTTTAAAGATGATACATCTATGAAGAGTGCTTCCTCTGCACCACCATTGTATATTCAGTATGTATGTTGAGAATTTTTTTTTTTAATAACCGAGAGTGTTCGGACTAGCTTAAACATACCTTAATTAATTCTCCAAAACCTTGGAATTACCGGTTAAGTAAGAGCTCCAATAGCTATTCTTATTAACAACCAAAAAGATACTCGAACTCAGGACTTTTTGAATAATACACCCAAGAATCCTTACCGAACCACTTAATTATTCAAAGATAGTTTATACGCTGAGAATTGGATATAGCCAAGTAAGACTGTTTTAATGATAATTACTAATTAGAGTCTATCGTTTAGATGGAAAGTTTGAAATATTTATTTTGTTAGTATAGTTTTATGGGGAAGAGCATAACATGCAAGAGATTTAATTTATGCAGCTCCAACCATAAAATTATGCGTATTCACCATCCAATTTGATGTGTTATAATCCGTGAATAAATTCTAGCATTTGCGCGCAACTCGGTCGCTTCTGCTCAAACATTTGTATTCCTACTGCCCATCATGTAGGCCAAATCCAGTGGTTCCCTTAAACCTTTATAACAACTGGCAACTCCCCTTCTATGCTCAATTGTTTGCAATTCCCTCTCCTCCGAGAAAATACTTATAGAAACCACCAACTCACTCAGTTGACGACCATCACTTCAACCTGATCAGNAGTCTATCGTTTAGATGGAAAGTTTGAAATATTTATTTTGTTAGTATAGTTTTATGGGGAAGAGCATAACATGCAAGAGATTTAATTTATGCAGCTCCAACCATAAAATTATGCGTATTCACCATCCAATTTGATGTGTTATAATCCGTGAATAAATTCTAGCATTTGCGCGCAACTCGGTCGCTTCTGCTCAAACAGTTGTATTCCTACTGCCCATCATGTAGTCCAAATCCAATGGTTCCCTTAGACCTTTATAACAACTGGCAACTCCCCTTCTATGCTCAATTATTTGCAATTCCCTCTCCTCCGAGAAAATACTTATAGAAACCACCAACTCACTCAGTTGACGACCATCACTTCAACCTGATCAGTAGGTCACTGAAGTTGATAATGGATATTTTAACCTGACAGTCAATCAGATTAGCTACTTCAAACACTATCATCAGACCTTAATTTGGAAATTATGAACTCGCTTCATTACTTGAAAAGTTAGTAAATATGTGTTAAGAGTTCCGATAAGTGTTAAAATATTTCTTTCTTTCTTTCTTTCTTACCCTTAACCCGCAGAAAGCAAACTAATCAATCCCAGATTCAGCCTTCAATATAATCTAAATGAACCACGGGATATGTGTTAACTGTCAGCAAATCTATATTAATTTCCTTAAAATAGAAAAAGAAATCATCAATAATTTCTATAACTTGGAAACATATGATCAACATTAAAAACATGGACGACTGTGCATGCCAGACTGTGGGACAGACAATATCCGATAACATGCTTAAGAATCTAGCTGAAGATAAAGAGTTCTATGATGTATGATCAATATAATCGCACTGCATGAGTTCTTATCTATGACCCACTACACGAACAGGTAAAACTTTTAAGATTCGACTAAGCAGTAGCACCACTACTCCCTTCTCTTTATTACCAAAACAGCACTTCAATGTGTAAATAACTGTTAACAATGAGAAAATTCATATTTCACAATTTCCTATACCCTATGAGCCAAAAAGACTGAATCAAAATAAAACCGTGTCTTCACCACATTGTGTTTTTTGAGCTCATTAAGTCAAGTCTTAACTATTTTTATTCAGATACCTGGTAGAATGTGGTAGTACAGCATAACGTAGAAAGCAAAGAAGAATTTTAGCACAGGTTAGAGGACAACAAAAAAAGTGTATTTATTGTTGGAAATCGCCAAATTCTTACGGCCGAAATTAGCTATAAGGTACAGTGAGGACAGTACCGGTGAGCTACGTCTGTGCAACTATACATGTGAGGGGACAGTTGATTAATGTATTGTCGCTCATTGCCAGGTCACAATTTTGAATTAATTATCCATACGAAACAGTTTGTAAACAGAGGACAAACTTACACTGTTTCGAACCACATATATTCATATCCTCACCTGACTCTTTTCAGATATTGTAAACTGTAATTTCAGAATCAAGCATCATCCCGGCATGTCGAGCAAATATCCAGACTCAATGGCAATTCCTGAGAGGTATTCCATGCACAATCAAAATAATTGAGACTTGTGGAAAGAGAATAAATTATAAGTCAATTTAATCACCGGTGTAAGAGAAATCTGTAAACAATATCTCAGTCAAATAATTACACTAAGCTAGTGATAAAAATTTGTTCTTAATATGAACTCATTTCAGTAACACAAGAATGTGTATCAAAGAATTTCGACTACGCCTATTAATCTCTCTCACTCAGTAACCCCAAAAAGTAGGGAACAAAAAAGAAAAAAATTATGACCTGTAAATGCTCATGTGGAGACGATACTTTTATCTAGCTGTAACACCTACTACTGCAGTATGAAACAAGTTAATCCTAAATCCAGACCAGAAACTCATCTAACTCTGTTTGCATTCTAATAAAGCATTAATAATATCAACAAACAACAAAAGAAAAGTGCTCAGGAAGGCACTTCATTGTAGATCAAAGAACTTTTAGAAGGATTATTATATTGCTATTTCATAGATCTGACTTTGGGAGGTTGGAGCTGCATTACAAACAGAGAAGGCTGTAGAAGATAAGTGGTATGAAAGCATTATCAAGTTGAGTTGTGTAGGCTTCCAATAAACCACTCAAGGTTACTGCTAGAATCAGAGAGAACCAATGCTGCAAAAATATAATCGAGGCATCAGCATCACAATAAAAAAGAAGACAGATAAGTAAATTTACCATACATTATTATATTGAGGGTTTCTCAAGATAACAGAAACAGTATGGAGTTTTCAGAGTGCGAGTGTTTTAAGTTTCAGAGATAGTGCATGACTACTACAAAAAATCTCCCGAAGCTAGGATATTTTGGTTCCCAAAGCAGAACCTCATAATTATGCACATACAATAAATCATCTACTCCTCATATTTGGGTACAAGAAAGTGATGCAATTCAATTTCAAACCAGCAATGGCAATAGGAAACACTTGGTGAACCTAAACTGCTTTTATGTTTACAACATGAATTAGCTAACAAGGATGACTCATCAAGGTCATGAACAGACATATGATTCATCCAGGTAACTTTAAGTAAATCATGTGATAAATTTAGCTACTTGTGCAGCAATTCTGTGCAAGACAGATTAATTGATTAAATTGGTTCAGTTTCACAAAAAACTAGGGACTAAAGAACCAAATTTGTATAATAGTGCATACATACATGCCCATACAAGAAAGCATGAGCATGCTTGTGTGTGTCTGAGAAAGAGTGAGATATACCTCTGAAAGAATATACCCCGTAGATGCTAAGAGGGGGAGCAAAACTGAGCAAGCGGCCAGGACTGATGTTATGCCAGCTGCTGTACCTTCAACAGTTTTCTCTAGCAAGAAGAAAAGTTTCATGCACGTTAGCCGATTAACATAAAAAGGTGCATTGAGAGATAGTACTACTCACTGCCAGTTTTGCTCCACCTGAGGACACCATACTTGTAGCCAACCATTGATGCCTGAACATAGAGCAAACTATCTATGAGCCACTAAAGAAAAAAAAATATGCTGGAATCACTTCAGAAAAATCAAAGAACTCCTGTGTGCATAGTTATCTTCCTGCAAGTACACCAGATTATAACAGATTATAATTGACTTGTCAATTTTCCTACTAATTATTCCTTGAATTAGCAAGTTATTGTACAAAGGCATAATAGGTTCTTCCTACAGGAATTAATCATTCTGACGCCACATCCACAGGTAAAATGGAGTACATTGATCTCACCATGTCACATAACATTTTTTATCCTTGAAGATACCCGAGCATCAAAATGTCTACTAGAGTCAACCTAAATTAAGTAAAATGTCCAGTAAATTTCATATGTTAATTTCTACAAAAGTTGGCTACAAAGGAAAAAGGAAAAAACCTACAATCAACTCCAGAGACACCAAGGTATACAACAAAAGTACTTACTACCCCAAAATGAAATCCAGGATAACACACCAAAAGATAATTATGGTAAACATAATTTTTTAAAAACAACACTTACATATCTCTCAACTCAAAGTTTCTCTCTCTTTTTTCCTTTATCTTTTTTTTTTTTTTCTTTTTTTTTTTTCCTATTTAAAATTAGGTCTTTCGAAGAAAAAATTGTATAGTACCTCCAAAATAACAAAATCTTTTGTGATGAAATGTAATTGGCAGCGAGTGTACCCATAAATGCACTCACATCGTGTTTAATATTTCTTTTCCATCCATAATTTAAACAAAAAAAGTTCCAATTTACAATTCATAATTGGAAGCATTCCACAAGATAATTCCACTTCTCTGGTAACAGAAGTTTGGTGAAAAGTCAAAGTTCAAGCTCAAATTAGAATAAGAGAGACAAAAATAACAATAATAATACAAAAATATAGAACAGGTTCTTTTATTTGCAAATTAAAATTATTAATAAAACTAGCCTTATACTTGATGGCACAATTCCCCTAGTTAATTTCAACAAGCCAAACAACATGCTCTGTTCTTTGCCATGAGCAAAAGCCTTAAGATATTTACCCAGTGAAATAATTGCCATCCTAGGTATTGAAGAGTAAAGCAGATACAGACATTTTTACAATTTCATAGAACATCACATAGAAATTTGATAAATCATGTACTCTGGAAGTTCCTGAACTTGCAGACAACAGATAAATAAGAAAGTATTCATGAATCAATATGTCAACAAAAAGCACACTCACCATTGTATCTCCAATTCCAAGGCTCAAAATTCCAGCAAAAGGGGCAAGAGGTCGATCGTTAAACCCAGATGACATCCAAATTGGAAATGCACAGCCCAATAACAGCGAAAAGTGGCTAAAGAAAGCAAAAAAAGTGCCCATTAAAACTTGTTTGCATCAAATATGTGCATTATGGTTCTCAAATGAGGAAAATAACATAGCATACCTGACAATAAGAAGATCAGAATCACGATGGTCTGTGAAAGCATTCATAAATTGATGTATGAGTTGTCCCAAAGGCCAAATTCTCCACACCTGGCCGTAAAAATAAAAAAATAAAATTGGTATGCAAAATCAACCACAAAGGAAAGAAACTGTAAAACCAATTTAATATTTTTCAAGCACAATACAGAAACCCCACCTGCAAGTTGAAAGAGATTAATTACTTACAGGGAGGTGGACTTCTCATGGGTTAAAGTTAGATTTTTGGCATCTTTGCGGCTTTGGTTTCAATTAATTTTTGAGATATTCCAATTCCTCATTCAAGCTAATAAGGATACTATTGTTCTATGAATTTACAGTTGTTTTTAAATTTGCTAGTTGATTTTGTTTTCCACAGTTGTTTGTGCCAGCTTGTTCACCTTCATTGTAAAACTTGAGTTTCATATCATTAAACAAAGAGAGAGAGAGAGAGAGACTATTGTGCCTGACTCCAGCTACCTGGGGTAAGATTTTGTTCATTGTCATATAAGGGATGCAAGTACAATTCTCATTATTATGCTCAATACCACAAGTTTGAGCCAACTATTTTTATTTTATTTAGTCCTCAAGGGGTTGGAAAATTATGATCTATTTATTCAAAAATAATTCTTTATACTGTCTTCTAAACAAAATATCTACATATTGTACTGAAAACTGAAACCTTGACTGCTTGACAACAATAAATTTTCATACATCATTTGCCTATGAGAATCTTGTTTCAGTTTCCTAAGATAAACCAATAAGTAAATTGCCTATATCTTGTAACATTTGCAAGTTTGAAGTACTTACACGCATAATTTCTAGTGCCAAGAAGACAGCCAAAGCTGCACCAAACCCTAGATCAAGAAATTTTGGCTGGAAAACAAATAAAAAGTTATGCTTAAAACAGCTACTAAAACAACAGATTAGTATCAAATTCTACTCAAACAAAAAATATATCTTCGTTCCCAAATCACCTGAAAAATAAGAGCAGGCACAAACATTAATACAGCCATCAGATGGTAATACTTCCGAAGAAGAATCCTCTCAATCTTACTATTCTTTGAGATGTTGTAGAAACGCAGAACAGATGCACATATCAAAGACACCCAATAGATACATAATGATAGTCTTTTAAATGGTTCCGAGAAAACAAATGCAAATACCCTGACAAAAAATAGGAGCTGCAAACATAAGAAAATGATCTGGTAAAATTAGATATACCACATGACATCATGTGGTAACGAAAATGACCACAAAAACCAACAATTGATGAATTTTACGAGTTCTTATACAACTGGTAATCCAATTTAGCTTCAAACAATTTAAAGGCCAATAACATGTCAGGCAAACAAAGGAAGGGAAAAATGCTTTTGCAGTATTTAGTAAGACTGCATAGATTCTGAGTCATCAACTCATCTAGACAACAAAGATAAGCATGCATGAAAAAATATGGCATAATGTCAATATCAATAGCTTGAATTCACTAGTAGGATCGTCTACCAAGCTGTAAAGCTGTCATGTATGTATCATGGCAAAAATTTTCCAATTAAGCATGGGCCCCAACCTTTTTAGTAAATAGGCATTACAAATACACAACAGACTGCCTTTTTTATGAGAATTTTAACCACAGAACAGAAAGCTAGACACCCTGAATCCTACAGAACATTTACGCGCCTAAGCCTATATGCCAACTCACAGAATGCTTCTCGCAATCTCTCCATCAAAAAGGCTGCTAAAAGACAAATAAAATAGTCTCAACCTCCTTTCTATGTCGGAAAACAAATTTTCTTCACTAGTTACATAAATGAAGCAAAGGATTCATTATAATGCGTAATGAAAGTGCTTATTGGGCTGATCCTGGATCAGGAGCAACTTCAAGGAACATCCTTTACTTTTGGGCTCATGCAATTAAGAAAATTGGGATTACCATAAGGATTTTGTCTTACTGGCTCAAATTTAAAGTTAAGTACACTAAGACATATGTGCACCACTGGGTGAACAAAGAAAATGCTCCCAGTAGAAAACATCTTCCTTTAATTTATTGTTAGGAAAAACTTGAGTGCAATAAATAATGATTGACCATGAGTCATAACTTCATTTACTCTTATTTAGAGATTCTTGCAAGGGTTGGTGATCTTCGCACCCATAAACATGCTCTTTCCAGATCCCCAAGAGTTCAGAAGTCATCCATTCAAAACAGGTCATACTTTTACTAGCCAACTAGAAATGGTGAGATTATTGAGCTCCATTTAAAAGATCAGGATTGCTCAAGATAATACCCTATCACTTCTGACCTCTACAGACCTGAACTTTGTCAGGTCTGTTGAAACTCCCCCGTACTAGTTCTGGAATTTGTCCAACTTTTGCGACAACAATACCATAATATCAAGTGAACTGGAAAGTACCATAACATTGGGGCATCAGACTGAATAATAATAACAAAACACAGTGCGAGTAAACTCTGGGGACAGCAATACCATATTATTGGGTGCACTTGAAAACCATGAACAAACTGCATCCAAGATGGAACAATGACAATCAAGATAAATCCAAGAGAAGCAAAGAATAATAGAGATCTCTGAATCTCATTGTTTCTCCTTTCTTCAGAATAGCCATCACCAAATGAACGTTCACACTTGCGGAGTACAAATCTAAAGAATATTGGAAAAAGAAGAAGGCCAACGGTCAAACCCTGCACACATATAAACAACATTCACTATCCAGCCACATTATTGCAACACCTTCATAACTTAAAGAACCATACCTGTATAATTATACTAATCTCACTTCTCTTGATTCCATAGCGCACAGTAATGAAATCTGCTGAAATCAAGCGTCCAGAAACCTGTTCAATCATCATTCTCACCAATAAGATGATGATGTTGCTGGCTTTCCATGAAGAATACAAACTAGCTATTGTAGGAAAGACTAACCTTTGCAATGGTATATGCCAACATGTCACCAAAATAAAGAACAAGACCAGCAGTCACCAAAAGAACTTCCCCTATAATAAGGCAGCAATAAATATTATATATGAAGAAGAAGAAGAAGAAGAAGAAGAAGAAGCAGCATCTTGGACTAACAAAGCAAATAAAATTAAAAAAAAAATTAAGAACTAATCATTTGTGAAGCCTAATCCAAGTTAATCACCTAGGGAGTCAAAATATTTCTTAAAGTTACATTCTCTAGTTTCTATTGTTTACAAGAGACTGCAAATAGTATATAATGTTCGGTAAAAGACAAGATATAAACAATGTTCGGTTGTAGTTAATGAAAACAATTAAAACCAGAAAAACAATGAAGATAGTCAACTCTCCCAAAGATTTTGTTGTTTAGTCAAGGGGAGCAACACTCTTGTCCAACAAGCTCAAGCCCTAGAATGCCAGAATCTAACAATATTTCAGTGTGTTATCGTTTGTTGTGAAGGCAGTGTTCTTGCCTTTTTTCTCTCCCTTTATAAATAGGAAATTTCATTGCATCCAATCAGCAGGCTATAGAAAAAATATTTAGAAATGTAAAGCATGAGATGTACCAATGGAAGCACAAGATGGGAAACAATTAAGAAGCTGCTGAAGTAACTTCACCGCTACCAGTCCATGAAATAGCTCCCACAATAACTTCAGTGCAGTGTTAGAGCCTGTCAAAGAATGAGAAAATGAATAATCTTGGACATACATGTTTTTCTAAGAGTTAAAATAGATAATAATAGTAAAAATCTGCCTAAAAGAAACTGTCAATATAAAAAATGCACAAAAAAATGGAGCAAATTTGTCCAAAAACAATAGTAGATACACCACCATCATTGCTCATTTAAAACAGGGTAAAAACACAGGATTGGGGCTTACCAGTCTGGGATATAGTAGCAAGCGAGACACAACAAGTCACTGCATATAGGACTATACAAATTAAGCTCCATGTTGCAACCCAAACACTATTTGATTGAGGCGGATGCATAGGCTTGGGTGCACGCTGCATAACTATGCAGAGGTAAATAAGCACACCGAAGCAACTTGCAGATGTAGCCCAATACTGCATCGTCATATGTTCAAGCTCTACACAGTAACAATTGTCACATCATCACCCATATAGAGTGAGGTCATAATCAAGTATATTTATTTAAAAATACTTTCAAGGACAAAAAACCAAGCTGCTAACTTAAATGTCGAAAAAAAAAAAGAATGAAAATGGTAGAGTAGGTCAGATGTAGATTGGATCTCTAACAGGCAGTTATACACATTGTCTTCTCATCTTTAAAGGGGGTAGCAGCCCTAACTCTTACAGACTCTGTTCCGTAATAAGGAGCCATGAACTTCCCAAATAAATAAATAAGAAAAGGTTGCCACAGTTAGAGGACAGTGCTTAAATGGTGTTGTTCTCTTAAATCAGGAGTTCCTAACATTTAACAAAAGGATTCAACATAAAAAATGCTCTTATCTTCAGTTATCAAAATCTAATTTCAGCTATGTTGTCTTCTTATATAACATTTCATTTGGCTAAAGAATATTGCTATAATTATTCTACTTCCATATTAGTTTATTGCTATAATTCTCTCACTATAAGTTCTGCAGTCAAAACATTTGAATTAGGTTTTAAATAATTTGTACTTTTATAAGCTATCCAACTAACAAGCATTTTATCTCCAACACTTAACTCTAAGATTTCTTCAATCCTATGCTTTGTTTCACAATTTTATATTTCTACTGGTCTCCCAATACCAGAACCTAACCCAAAAGAAAAAAAAAAAAAAAAAAAAAAAAAATCTTTCCACTTTTTCAATCTTAATATTTAATTATTTACCTGTCCTTGTTCCCTAGTTCTTTGATTCTACCAACGTTGCATATTTGTTCACTCATCTGAATTCTACTCAATTGTTCCTTCTTTAAATGGAATCAATTTGGAGTTGCATATCAAAGCTCATGAAATAGATTCATAAATACGACTCGGAACATCCCAAATTTCACCATGGGACGAAATAACCTGTAAGCCACAAAATTTTAACTCCCTTTTGAATTCGAGATCGCATAAAAATTAACTTCAGCTTCGGCCATTAATCTTAACTTTTCACAGAATTAGTATTCTGCCTTAGTGTTTTGAAATATAAACACTATATCAAAAGTAGTACACCCGTACGCTAACCTAAGAAGCATTTTCAATTTTTCATAAAAAGCAGAAACGAGAAACACATTATAAATTTGCAACACAAACTAGAAACGTGATAAATTGTAATAATTCAATGCAAAGACATGCATTCTTGAAAAAATATGGCTAATCAAAATGTCTCACTAGCATCAATATGTAAAGCCAAATTCTATTAACTAAAAGTACCTTGAAGCTCAATTTGATGCAGTGAGTAGGCTCTCGTTAGCTGAATCAACTTAGAAATCATTACAGTTGGCAGTGCCACTGCCCCTAGCAGTATCCCCGACGAAGCACCTGGCCTGAAAATCAATTCAACCACGAATAAATTTGACTCCCTTAAATTGCCCGATATAACGTGATTAATTACGTGCAACGCCATCCAATTTAGGAGCAAAATTTAACTTAAAACCCTAATTTCGTCGATCTAAGAAATGATGGAGGTACCTGGTTTTGAAGTGTGACAGGGAAGCAGAATTCTCGGCGGAGATGTCGAGGAAGAGAGCGAAGAAAGAGAGCACGGCGAGATTGAGGCCATGGCAAAGGAGAGAGGAAGGTAGAGAGAAGAGGACGCAACTAACGAACAAAGCTACAACGCCTCTCTCCCCGTTCACCATTGACAACGACAAATTCATATTTCCAACTTTAATTTTTGTTTAAAATTTGAGAAAATCTACAGACTTTGATTTTGAGAGAGAATGCGTTTTCATTTTTCACGCGGGAAGGATTAGACGGGGGGTTGGGTTGGATGCGGTGAAGTTAGTTAGACATATTGTGGGTCCCACACGTTAACAAGGGAGTAAAAACGTGAAGTTTTTATTGGTATATTCCTTTTTTTTTTTTTTTTTTTGGAATTGACCAAAATAGGCGGCTCTTTCCACCATATGTATTCGGAACGCTGTTGTATGCAAGCAGTAAACAATATCATCACACTCCACACGCGACTTGCCAATATGGTATGCCGTGACGTTACCGTCACGTGGACCACCATCAATAAGTTCTGGTTCTGGTCCTTCTGGAGCCACCCTATGTTTGAAAAAAGTGAGTTACTGAGTTACCACCCCTAGTTTCGAAAACAACTAACGTTTCCCGTAAGGGTCAACGTTCAAAAACAATGAATTTATATGGAGTGATGCTATTTGAATTTTTTTTTTTTTTTTTCCCAGTAACTAAAGCGATTTAGAAAAGAGAAAAATTGTAATAAAAAATACTCTTGTTTTAGTTCATTTATTGGTTTCCCTGTGCATGATTGTCATTTGACTATTGATAGTATCATCTATATGGATCATCTTAGTAGTGCCACACATCTTGTGTCCTAAATTATATTTGCAATGATGTATTATTGTTGTAGAAACATAAATCTTAAACAATAAACTTCCATGAAATGGTTTCACAGCATTTTGCCCAATTTTCTTGCTCGCGTGATGTTGTTGAGAAATATGAATCTAGGTTATCAAAAGATTTCTAGCATGGAATGAGTCAATCATCCATTTTGATATCTTATTGAACAAAAATAGTGATATTCTTCTTCTGGTGATCAAATTTTTTTACTTTTGAGAAGTATTATGATTATCTAATAAAAGGGGTTTTAATTTTTTAAAATAACAACAGATTGTAGAGTTGATCATTTGGATTTTCAATTTATAGATGTAGATCTCATACTTATCCTCAAATTTATTAAAAAAAAAAAAAAAACTAGTTTTTTTGTAGAGAAAAGTCTTCCCTATAATCTTTCCTTATCCTTATCTTTTAGGATTTTACATGTCTCTATTAATTTGACCTTTTTGTACTCCTCTTTTTCTCTAATTTAATCAATATAATATACCACATAAATCACTATTAATTATGATTTTTAATTATATGATTTGACTTTACTATCATTTCATAAGTATTTACCTTTCTCTCTTTTATCTCTTTATCTAATTAATTACTTTACATATGACAATTTTATATACTAATAAAAGATTTCATGCTGCAACTTACACCCCTTTTTAATAAAAATAAAAATTAATAATCTATATAATTACAAACTAATAATCAACTTAATAATTATCATTATCTTTCCCTGATTTTAATAAATTTCGAATGATTATGTTATATTCTTTTTACAAATCTATCTTCCAATGACAATGACATGACATAATTAAAAAAAAATTAGATTATAATTAAATTTGAATCGTTTATTGAACTTTGACCATGACAATCTAGTATTAAGATCAAGTATAATTGTTTACTATTTTATTTTTTTTAAGAATTTAACCATATAAAACATTACTTTAAAAGTGCATTTTCCCATTTGGCCCTTTCTTCTTCCATTCCAATTTCATCATAAATTTCCATAAGACATCAATAACGTCAATTGGTATGAGAATAATTTGAATTGAAAGCAAATTAAGTCAAGATTTAGGGTTTAGAGTTTAAGTTTAGGGTTTTTTGCTCTCTTCACATTAAAGAAGTTTTTCCACATAAAAATTTTCTTGTAAATTAGATGTTATTTTCGACATATTTGCTTAAAGTTTTGTTTCTCATATATTTATTCAAGTAGAAAAATATTGTATTATTGCACTCTTTCCTTTAAACTTTTTGATATTGTTGTTTTTTTTTTTTTTTTTTTCACTAATTGATCGGCAAATAATGGTGGAGGAGGCCACAAAACAAAAATAATGGGTTTGCGACTACCCACGACCTTAACGTAATTAAAAATTACTTAAAGACTAGTGGCTGTAAATAAATTTAATTTACATAATGTTACAACAAAATGTAGAGTTACGAAGATGGGCAAAAGTCAAAGAGACCAATATCATCCATGCATATCCTCAAACGAGGGAACTTCAGTAATTCCAATCAACACCACGCAATTACAGTCTCGTCATTCATGCAAAATTACAAAATCCTTATGCTTTCCTTTCAAAAATTATACGGTACATAAAAACCTATAAATTAAACAATAACAATCAACATTCATCTCTCTCTACAAATCAACCCTTACTACAATTCAATTAATGGCAGACAAATCTGATAAGCCCCATGCAATTTTCATTCCTTACCCTCTTCAAGGCCATGTTAATCCATCTGTTCAGCTCGCCCTCAAGCTCGCATCTCAAGGCTTCACGATCACCTTCATTAACACACAGTCTGTCCATAATCAAACTTCCAAGGCTCAGTCAAAGACTGGACCCGATATTTTTTCCCAGGTCCGTGATTCGGGCTTAGATATTCGTTACGTGACCGTCTCCGATGGCTTACCGGTCGGCTTCGACCGCTCCCTTAACCACGACCAGTTCATGGCCGCCTTGCTGCATGTGTTCTCCGCCCATGCTGAAGAAGTGGTGAACCAAATTATACGATCTGGACAGAAGGTTCACTGTTTGATCGCTGATACGTACTTCGTTTGGCCATCAAAAGTTGCAAAGAAATTTGGGTTACTTTATATTTCATTTTGGACAGAAACGGCTTTGGTCTTTACTTTGTATTATCATTTGGATCTTCTTAAACGCCATGGTCATTTTGCATGTATAGGTAATTAATAAAACTATTTCCACAAATTGGGTCAACATTTTTTTCTATTCTGTTTATGTTCTTACGTTTTGTTAATTATCTGGTCAGATCGTTGTGAAGACGAGATCGATTACATTCCTGGAGTTAAAGCAATCGAACCGAAGGACACGACCTCTTATCTTCAAGAACCTTGTAGTACAACAGTGTGTCACCAAATTATTTTCAATGCATTTGAGGACGCCAAAAATGCAGATTTTGTTATATGTAACACGGTGCAAGAGCTGGAAACTGAGACCATATCCGCTCTGCAGAAAAAATTGCCATGGTTTGCTATTGGACCCATTTTCTCATCTCAATTCACCGATAGGATTGTGTCTACGAGCATGTGGTCCGAGTGTGATTGCAGCACATGGCTCAACAAAAAGCCCAATGGCTCGGTTCTGTATGTGTCTTTTGGTAGCTATGCCCATCTCACAAAAAAGGAACTTGTAGAGATAGCTAATGGGCTTTCGCTAAGCAAAGTGAGTTTTATTTGGGTGCTTCGACCGGACATTGTTAGCACTGAAGATCCCAATCCTCTGACCGATAGATTTCGAGAGGAAGTGGCCGGGCGTGCAATAATCATTCCGTGGTGCTGTCAAACGGCGGTGTTGGCCCACCCAGCAATCGGAGGGTTCTTGACACATTGTGGATGGAATTCGATCTTGGAAAGCATGTGGTGTAAAGTTCCAATGTTGTGTTATCCTTTGTACACTGATCAATTCACTAATCGTAAATTAGTGGTTGATGATTGGAAAGTTGGGATTAACTTAAGTAATCAAAAGATGGCGACCAAGGAGGAAGTGTCCAAAAATATTAACCATCTGATAAGTGAAAAATCAGGTGATCCATATAGAAACTCAGTCCAGGAGGTGAAGAAGACCATGGAAAATGGATTAAAGCCTGGTGGATCATCAGCTAATAATATGGATCAGTTCATAAAGGATCTTAAGGCCAAAATCCCAAAAAAATTGGCCCAATAAATAGTATAATGCATATATTTGAATCCCCTCTTGAACTACGTTTCATCTCATTTTTCAAAGATCTTACTACAGTGTATCTACTACGTCAACAATTCTTTACATAAATGGACAATTACAAACTGAATACATTGTTACTCAAAAAAAAAAAAAATATATATATATACTATGGAGGCTCATCTGGTCAAAAAATGACGCAATCCTATATTTGATTGCTGAGATATAGTAGTGTTGATATTAAATTGCAAAAGGTAAACAAAACAATGAAATTATACAATTTGAAGAGCCAACAAAAATTGACAGTACTACTTCATTCATCTAGGGTTGTTTGTATCAGGGTCACACGAGAGAAGTTTATGTATGAATGTATTTTTCTTTACACGAAAATATAGCAAAACGAACAAGATGAGTCGATATGCAAGTGCCATAAGAAACAAAACCAGCAAATTCTCCCACTTGGAATTACTGTTAACAGAGATGTCATATGCACTTCTGAGAGCCTGAAACCCAGATATGGTCCTCACCTGCCCAACAGCAAACGAGGTCCCAAGATACTCATTCTCCAATAGCCCCTATAAGAAATAAAAATTGATGGCTTATTTTAAGGTCCACTCAGCAGAAAATACTAGAAAAGCAAATGACTCTAAAATTGTCTTCACCAAAAACGGTTCTTAATTCTTATTGGCCTAGATATGCACGGTAAGCAAATCCTAACAGATATAGTTTCATATATAGAGCATCATTAACTTATTGGTACATACCTGGATAGAGTAAGTGTGGAAAGCAATATATGATATGGGATACATCCACACAGGTCTGGGTAAAGCATTGCGGATTCGGAAATAACCAGCTGATAGCATCATTACCACCTGCCATACCATACATGTTGACCATTAGATTAGCAAAGGCCGGGTAATAAACTAAAATTGAATAAAATCTAAAAATAAATCATAAAAAGTGAAACATGAATTTTGGTTAGTTTTCATATTTTTAGTATACATCCCTAGCATCACCAAACATTGAAAATAATACCATGCTAGTATAACTTAAGTGACGGCAAATTTGGCTTGCATAAGATGCACCTGAATTGTGACAAAACAAATTGTTTTGTAAGAAGTGTAACTTACATGTATGCATGCGAGTGTCAAGATGCTCCAGAAAACATGTTGCCAAAGAGCAGCAATAACCAGCATCAGTCCTTCATTAACTAAGAGGCATATGAAAAAGTTCAGCACAAAATACATCAACAAGCTGAATTCATCTCGCAGCCCAATAAGGAAATAGAAGACAAGACTTGACGATATGGAGATGAGAAATAGGAACGGGATGCTTGAGAGGAGTTGCCCAAGTAAGAAGACAAATGCTCCTGAATGCCAGTTTGATTCCTCACAGGCATATATCTGCAAAATAAGACAGACACTTATGAGGTTATAGGATAAAAATGCACTAATTCGTCTCACTTTTCATAGAAAGAAGAAAAAAGGTATAACATTAAAATTTATTGATATCTATTAACTAGAGCACTTGACCATAAAACTAGTTGATTATGACTATCACGCAAATGTCTTGAGTACTCTAAAGATGATGTTCCATGCATAACCAAAACTCACTAAGCAACTTCCATACAGCTTCTAGCTTGAGCTCTTAAAATAAAACTAAAAAGCACATCGACGACTCATATATATTTTATGTATCTTGGTCCTAAAATTAGTGCTTCAAAATAAAATCCCAAAACCAACATCCATTTCCCTATCTCATAAAGAAATATAAATTTGCTTTAATAATGCAGGAGAATGTAAAATGCATGCCAGAAAGACTTCAATACAATAAAGGGAGTCCCATTAGCCCATTTTTCCCTTGTTAAGACAATCATGTATACCATTTATAACTCTTGCATATCGAGGTACATGTCATCACCATCGATCAATAAAGTTCAAGCTGAAGAAAGTTCTCCAAGATGCTTTCAAATGTTATGAGAGGAATTATAAGACACTACAGCTGTTAGGTTGTCATGACTGGCCATCAAAAGATGTAAAATTTAAACTCTAATATTGATAACCATAAATGCTTGGAGTCAGCATCAAAGAATAAACAGGTAACTAAAATTACCTTGATTTCTTTCATCAGTGCAGGCACTCCGGCGATGCTCAAAAGTGAAGTAAATGATATAAATACAAATACTGCTGCAACTCGTGTCTGCAATAGAGGAGGCAGAGATAAGACACGACTTGCAGATCAGGACTATAACAAATATAATGGAAGCATACAAATGGGAAAACAAAAAAGCAGGCGAGATTAGGCATTTCTGTTAAGTTTCATATGAAAATCCAATCAAAGCAAAGAACAAAGTTCATAAATAGAACTGCAAGAAGATTATACTGGCTCCTAGGAATTGCATGTGAAAGATTTTCCCTGAAGCCCCCAGAGCCCATATATTAGGTAGCTTTACAGTAAGATAATACTGTTGAAGAAACATATGTCCAGAGACCTTTAGTAATTCTGCTAGAAAATACATGACACAGAACAGAAAGCAGACTACTTCAAGACAGTGTTAAATCAAAGAGACCTACTGCTAAGAGTGGCAACGACAAACTTGCATAACATAACCAAGACCAATTTCAAGAAGAAGTTTTCATGTCAATTAAGAAGTTGCATGTGAAGGCAGCATCAACACTGGGGATTACAATATCAAATATTAATTTTCATTTTAGATCTATATGAGTTGAAAATCAATTCAGATATATTCTAACAAATCAAGAAAAAAAGATGATACATTTGAAATTGACATACTACTATTTTGCCAACCTCCAAAATCATCAATCACAAGGCCAAACTTTTTTTTTTTTTTTTTTTGAGATAGGAACAAGAGCTGAATATATTTATAAAACAAAAAGAATTTATAAGAGACAAGCTATCCCAAGAACCCTATAAGGGTCCATATAAATTCAACAAAGCATGTATCTCGATCAAAATATATGAACAACAATAGCCATTATACCATAAGCCATCTAAGGCCCGCGCAACGTGGAAAGCAATATATGATATGGGATTTTTCAACCACCTGAAGTTTACTGCATTTTTCTAATTGACAAGTTATACATGTATTTTAGCACAAGTATTTACTAGAGTAGAAATTCAATAAAAAGGCGCAACCACCATGCAGAATTTAAAGATGAAAAGGCCTGAAAATTCATACATGTTTAACAAATATTACTCTTAACACTACCAACAAAAATGGTCGTAAGAAACTCACCACAACTGAAGACAAGGAATGCCCTAAATTGGAAAATACTGTCCCAATACAGAGCGTAAGAAACATATAAAGGATAAGACGAAGCCAGTAGTATTTCCATTCCCTTGACATAATCAACAGTGATCTCCAAGTGAGTACCGCAATTCGTGTAGCACTACTAGCCTTTCCCTTGCTTTTTAGAAGCGGACCTTCCTATAGAAAGTGAGGAATGATGACTTTAGAAACTTACATACAACTACAATGGACAGAAGAACATGCATAATAATGAATGCTCCACACGTGCATCAGTCAAGAAGTTGTAATTAACACAATCAGACACTAGTAATAATTAGAACAACAATCATACCTTCTCAGTGAGCCTTAGTATCATAGTTTCAACAGCAGCAGCATCAGCTGATGTTTTATAAGTTGCTTCAAGAGTGCGTATAGCAACAGCAGTATCCATATTCACCGATGAAAAATCACCATGGTCATCCTGTTATACGTGTTCTCAGTCCATGTTTGGTAAATGTGTAAAGTAGTTGTTAAAAATACAAAAAACGTTTTCTTCTATAACTGCCAGCCAATGTAGCTTGCATCGAGAAGCCCATATGTTATATTGTAATTATGTAAAATTTAAAAAAAAAAATGTCCATTAAAAGAATTGCTCCAATCATCATTGGACCTCTAAGTTAGGCATTATAACAAAAAATCTGAACATCTAACTGTTATTTAAATTGTATTGATTGTTAACTTTATAATTGTTCTCCAATTTAGGCCATGAGAAAAAATACAACTGCAGTTTAGAGTTCAATACCTGCCAATTTTTGCACATTGCTATGATCCTGTCAAAATCTGTATTTATTGCACGTAGAAAATGATCAGAAGGACTTTGCATAATTGGGCAAGGAAATCCAGCATTTGAGAAATGCTTCATCAAAAAAGGAATGTAGTTAGAAACAATATAAAACAGTCAATTAATATTGCAAAAGGTTACAGAATAATAGAAAAGAAATGCTTATTGTATCATAAAATGAGATTTTAAATTATATTTTTCCTCCACCTTATAGCAAACAAACAGTAAACAAGTGTAATGATGAATTCATATATTGAACTCACTCATTCCAAAAAATTCAATGATGTGAAAAAAATGGCACAGAATCTTAGTTACCTGCAAACAAGCTAATGTTTCCCCAAAAAACAGGGTGTTTCCATTTGAAAGCAGACAAATCCGGTCAAACAGGCCAAATACTTCAGTGCTACTTTGATAAATGGTAAAAATGAGAGTGCATCCTGTACTTGCAAGTTTCTTCAATGTCACCATCATCAGAAGGGCAGAGACACTGAATGGAATAAGATTTTAAGACATTAGCTCTAACATCGCAGTGTAATAAAAAATATAAAAAAAAATTAGCAGAAAGATGTAAATCAACATGAACATGTCGGGACTGCTGCGGCAACCATACATGGATGTCACAAAGCTGATCCCCAATATAAAGAAAAGATCAATTATAAGAGTTGGATCACACGGTAAAACAACATAAAGAGTTTATCGCATGATAAAGTAACATCTAAGGGAAGCAAAACCACGGATTTTAATCAAACACCTAAAAAATGATTTAGAACACAACTTACTGCCAAGATATATTCTTAAATTTGCTTTTATCATCTTCAATTTTTTTGAAAGCCAATCTAGACTTCTATTTTGATGGATCAATAATTAAAAAGACTTGAAAAAAATTTTGCCATGTCTCCATTCTTATTTTTGGTTTATTTCTACTTCATATGATATATGCAAAAATAATTTTTCCAAGTTATTAATCAATTTGTTCCCCGTATGATTCCATTCTTGATGTTCTACAGATATTACTTTTGAGTTTACATTCTCGACATCTTAATGAGTTCCCCAAGTCAACAACATGGGTATGGAACACCATTATACAGAAATGCACCATAGAATATCTAGCACACAGATAAGAACTTCTTAACAAAACCATCAAAATCAAAATCAAGCAGAACAAACAAACCTGTCAAGATGATAAAGAGGCTCATCTATAAATAAGATATGTGGTCTCATCACAAGCTCCCGGGCAATGCTAACTCGCCTTCTCTCACCTCTACGAAGGCCCTTCATATAACAGTGGCCACCTATCAGTTTGTTAGCATAATCACTCAAGGACATGGCATGGATAGCATCCTCTACCACACCCTTCCTGTGACAGAAGAAACCAGGAAGTTGAAGCAGTGCTGAATAATAGAGGAACTCCCGGACAGTGAGTGATCCAATTAAAGCGCTTTCCCTCTCAACAAATCCCTGCATTTCAAAACAAAATTCAAGGTTAAAACTGAACAGTCTGCAATGTTCACTTGTCATCACTGTTTAGACTAAGCTTACTACAAAAGTATCTATATAATTATAAAAATAAATCCAGCTTGAAAGTGAAAGAGATAGTATAGGAGCATGATGTAAGGATACAATCCCACATTTAGTTTCACAAAATGAAGTTCATAAAATTCAATTCACTCGTCTCACAAATTTGAACCCCAAGGTTTCACCACTGAAATCATCATACTATCATATACAACTGCCACAACACAGGGATCGACATTAAGGAGGGTATTAATATTATAACAGTGAATCACTCAGCTGGGGTCTTCCCAAGTCTTTTCAAATATTATAGTAGTAATTGTGCTAAAAATAGCTCAATTCCCATGACCCCAGCTGTTTGCAGAACAATTGAAAAACCACATACAATATGCCAACAGCAAAGTACACACATCAATCAAGCTTATAACACTATCACAATTGAAATTACAGTTTAATGATTAGTCTTGACATACAAATTCATAGTCTCACATTGAAAATCGGTGCTCAATGGGACAAGATCAAGTTTTTGCCATCTTTTGGGCTTCTGTCTCAAAAGACTTGAAGACATCTCTTTTTTCTTTATCCATCTTAATTGGTTAGGGGTTGTAAGTTAATTCTAGTTTTTTAGAATCCGTTCAAGCTATAGTAATCTACTTTTTTGTTCTGTTCTTTCTGCAAAGGTTACACAGGTTCATAATAGCCTTTGTAAAGCCTTAGACCCTAGTTAGATGGGTTCTGTTTGTAGTAGTGGATACCTGATCCACTATCTAAGTTTTTTTTATACAGTAATCCATAACTCTACGTTTCCTATCAAAGAACAAAAAAGTAATAAAAAGATAACTAAATCCATCCCAACTTACACAAAAAGACAACAATGCAGAATTTCTTTTGACCAAATTACCAAAATAAAGCATGTGTTATGATCACTGTCCCACTTCACATTCAATCTAATTGACCATCTACTGAACAATGTTCTCATTAACATGAACAAATTTTATCCACACACAACTGTGTGATAAACAAACGATGGTAATGGTGAGAGGATTCCCTCAAGTAAAGAACAAATTACAAAACAATATTGACTACTACAGATATAGCAAGAAACAGAACCTGTTAACCTTGTACACACAATACTATGAATAAGTATTGGCCAAAACAATATCACTGTTGAGTACGAAATATAAACATAGGCAATGTCACCACATATGCATATACATCAAGTAAATTCTTGAGATGCAACAGCAAACATTTATCTTCGTTTGTTCACTACAATGAATACAGAGTGAATTAAATATGCTGAAGAGAAAGCAGAAAATATTTTTTCTAATACGAATACTGACAAAAGAAAAGGGTAATAATACGGCAAAAGATTGGCGCCACAGCACAAGCAGCAATTTGCACAAACAAAATATGAAAATTTAAAGACAAGTGATGTCACATGGAACTCACATACGACCCATAAGGCATGTGTGATTTTGCCCCATTGACAAATACTTCACCATACATTCTGGCTGAATGAGGTAATCTACCTAAAGTCAAGAGAAACAGCATTTTAGTTTCTTAACATACAAAAATACACAGAAACAAATAACTAACAGACAAATATACAAATATACAAATAAACATTCCAATGCTAAAGAAGTAACCGAAATAAATATGCTAAAGAAACCTGCAATAGCCCTCAGTAGTGTGGATTTCCCTGATTTGGCAGGACCCATGATTACAGTCATTGTCCCTGGAAATGCATAGCCATTTGAACTCTTCACAACCTTTTCAGAGTACTTCCTCTTCCCCTTAATGGTGACAGTCAAGTCTTTCCACACAATTGAAGCCCCTGCAATCTTCCTTGCTACAACTGCACCCTCTGGTAATGGTGGGGATGGTAAGGACCCACTATTGATCTTTGACAGAGACGGGGAGACTGGTGTGGTTGCAGCATTGATAGAGTCACCTCCTTCATCCACCCTAACTTCAATATCTGTATCCTCCCACTCTGGTGAATCCTCAAATGAGATAGGTTGCCTGAGAGAACCTGGTTTCCGCAAGTAGAAAAAATTACTTGAGGGAACTCTACTTGCAGGACTACTTGCTGACGACGATGAAGACCTATAATTATCAGATTGAGGCTGTATTTCTTCCATTTACTGTAGCCTGATTTTCGAAACCTCAAATTGTAGAAAATTGTATTCTACAGTGACCAGGATACTTATCCTTGTTACTCCACTTAAATAAGTACATTATCTGGTCAACCTGATAATTATAAAAATGAATATTCCCAATCACACAATGATATAAGTCACAATCCACCGTTACAATACCACGTCATGACTAAAATTTGCCATTCCTGCATAAATTATTTCAAGGAAAGAAATTAACATTTGTTTTACATCAAACTGAGAATTTCATAAGACTGGATGTCTGCAGCAACTGTTTCCAATTAAAGACTTATGTTACATTGCTGAGACATAAGGAATGAAAAGTAAATCACATTCTTGGAAGTTATTAAATAAAACTGTCAATAAATCAAAGTGAATTAACTAATTATTTTGAAGACTATAGCCAGAAAAAACGAGTAACCATTTTCAAAATGAAATCAGATAGAAACAGAAAAAATAACCAGAAAGGAAAAAGGAAAAGAAACAAAAAATCATTTATAATTCCACTTTATGTATTGTAGATCAGAACCGAAATGCAAAACAGATGATAAGAAGCATTCAGATGCTATTACTCTAATTTTAATTTCCATAACAATAAAAAAAAAAATAACTCATAAACCAATATATAACATCTCAAGTTAAATAGTCGTTTTGCTTAGAAGTTTGAAAAGATTTTTATCATTTCTCAGTTAAGTCAGCAACCAAACACAAACTTTTTTAAAACTGTAATCCAGCTGTCTGCCTAACACTGTAACACGCATTCAATCAAATATCAAAATGACAACCAAAACATAAATCCATTAAGCCTCAGTCCTTAATACAAACATATCCATTTACTCACATTGACACAACCGAAAAACCCACTAATTCTTTGAGCAGCAAGATTCCACAAATAAAAACTATAACAAATGAAAATGAAAATGAAATCTTCCACTTTCAATTGAACAAAATACCCCTATTCAGTTCACCTAACCAAACCCGTTTTCCTTAAAGATAACAAACAAACACCAAACTGAACACTTGAAATCTCTGTTCTTTCACTTAGTTTTCTTTTCCAAGCAACAAACGAGAAAACACAAAATAAAAACTAAAGCGACCTAACTTCAAGAAAAAAAAGTAATGAGAAGAGACAAAAACAAACCTGGATCTGAGGTTTTGAGTTATGCTGTCTGAGAGAGATGTGTCTATGTGTGAACGAGAAGTAAGTGAAGTGGAGTGAAGTGGAACCGTAATAACACAAGAGAGGAGGCGTAAACATTAATAAACAAATAAAATGAAAGTGGATGATTTGACCCGAATTTACCGGGTTTTGTAATTTTGTATTACTTTGTCTTAGGCTTAGCATCTCAACTTTATCTTTTCTTTCTTTTTGTCTTTTCCTTTTTAATGCTTTAATTCTTAATTAAATCTTCCTAAGACTTTTGTTATGATTTTTGTTGCCAACTCAACCTCTTCTTTTTTGCCTTTTTATGCTTAATCTTAACTTAACTACTTGATTTGTACTTATTTATTGCTTTGTTTCTTGCTTTTTCACAAATTATGGGATTTTATTTATTTAATATTTGGATTTGATTGAAAAAAAAAAAAATTAATTTAAAAACTTGACTAAAAAATAAATATTGTTTTAACACTCTCCTTTCTATGTGTTATTATGCTTGTATAATTTATCATTTTAAGGCACTAATAATATATAAACCCTATCCTTTCATTTAAAATTTGGGGGATTTTATATAAAAAAAAATGTGAATATGACAAATCCTGAATAAATTTGGTGAGACTTGTAGTAGTGAAGAAAGCGCGTGGGTCAGGGTTAATTTGAAACAATTGCGGAAATCCAATTATTGGACTGGGATCCATTTTATAATAATTGGGAGAAAAAAATGCGACCCACTATAAAGTATAAAGAAAGTGAATAAATAAATAAAATAAAAAAAGAAACAATATGCTTTTATTTGTTTTTTCTATAGTGTTTGAAAATATTCCCGGAATGGGAGGTTTGTGAGAAATGTACAAGTATAAAAACAATTAATGTAGAAGAGTGTTGATGTAGATATATTATTGATTACGCATGGCAGCCATGGATAACTTTCTTGTTACTTCATTTCCCATTCAATTGCATTGTGATGACTTGGAAATAAACCAATTATGGGAGTTATTATACATGTTCTTCCCAATTTTGAGTTAAATAACTTATCTTAATATATACATATACGTTTTTATTTCTTTATGATATTGATATTGATGTGGATCAACATTAGTATGAATAGTATAGTACCACGTGTATTTGTCGTATAGAAAACAATATGACAAACATGGTTTTAAAACCTGGACTTGCCCGGCCGGTTTAACTAGTTGGACCGGGACTCGGGGCCTTCTCCAGGTCGGGTTACCCTATCAACTGTTTCAAGTTTGTAATATAGCAAACACACCCCTGATTAATACCCATCAATCCCTGAAGGTTTCAAATTCAGCATACACACCCTCTGGCCAAATGCAAATCGACGATGACCTCCCCTTTTTCGGTGACCTTCCACCTTCCTTTGCTGTCGGAAACCACCCTCTGACTTTCTCCAGGGCCGTGACGCTTCATCTCCTGCCGCCGCGCGACGTTTCGTCGTCCAACAATTTTTCTTCCATTTCTCAGCATCGATCAGCCTTCTTCGGCATTGATAGGCCTCCTCAGCCACCAATCTACTTTCTCCCAAGCTCCCTTGCCGTCGTTCACAAATATCCACAATCATCTCGCCAAAAAAAGCCATTGCGATCGTTTGACTTTCACCACCGATCTACCATTTTCTAGCGATGCCTCAACTTGCCAGCTGCTGATTCGTCCTCCCCATCACCTGATCTACCCTCCTTGGTGTGTCGCCACCGCTCTCCTAGTTGATCGCCAATTCGCATTTGGCCAGGGGTTGTGTTTGCTAGATTTCAAATCTATAGGGTCTTATGGTATTTATCAGAGGTGTGTTTGCTAGATTTTAAACCTGTCAAACCATTGGTTAAACCAGTTAGCCCATGACTCGGTCGCCTGAACGAGTCACCCCTCGAGTCAGGTTTTAAAACCTTGATGACAAAAATGTATAAAAATGTTTGTAAAGAGGATTTTATGAAGTTTTCAGGATGCTTCACTCTATTTCTTCCTTAGTTTATTTGAGAATAACTCATTCTCTTTGGATGCATTCAGTTCAGATAATGTTTTATTGCCAAAATGATAGGATTACTAGTGAAACACATAACCTTGAAGATTAATAGGTATAAGGACATTTTTGTCCAAATAATTAATTAATGAGGTTAAAGAAGTTACTCAACAAGTTGGGTTAATTGTTATTTGACATCAATAGGAGGGCATTTGTGTCCAGATTTTTTATTAAGTAAGGGTAAAATTAGGATTACTACAATAATCTTCAAATTCCACCATCTGAGTTGGTAATCACACTATGGGTCCGTTTGGTTTAGGGTCATATAAGATAATGGGGGTAATCTTCATTTATTTTGCAAGATTCTGTTGTTTGGTTTGCAAATAATATAATATTAGGATATCTTTTATTGCAAATAGTGTTTACTATTTGTAATATGGGGGATAATCAGATGCCCTCCCCAAGAGGTGTTATTAAAAGATTACCGAGATAATATGATTTTTATACCTATTTTGCCCTTAATTAAATACTATTTCAGACACAATTGCCCTCAAATGTATACCAAATAACCATTGCTCACCCCCTTACATTTGATAATTTAGCTAAAACACTCCAACCACAAAAAAGTTTAAAAGTTAACAAAATACCCCCAACCACCCAAGACCACCGCCGGCCACCGACGACAATCACCGTAATGGCACACAATCTAGTTGCTCGTGCGCCGGTAAGGCTGTTTCCGGCCAGATCTAGCTGTTTCACAGATCTATTGCCGGAAATGGCTTTGTCGGCGCACGACCTGCCATATACGGCATGTAGTGCACCATTCCGTCGACTGCTGGTGGTGGTGACTGGCTGCCAGTAGTGGCTTGGGATGGGTGGGGGTGATTTTGCTACAAATTAAATTTTATATAGCTGCGATGTTTTAGCAAATTTTCAAATGTAGAGGGTTAAAAGAAATGAATCAAAAAATAATAATAAAAAAAATATTATATTAATATTTAAAATGGAGGATAATTTAGTAATCTATATAACATACCCACCCATTTATCTTCCTAACCCAACATATAAATATAACATTCTCATCAATTTATTCTAACCAATCAAACACATTTCTCTCAACATTCTCAGTACTCTTCAAGGTGATCTATCTTTCCATTAATATAACATCCCCTATAATAAAACATTATATGGACTAAACGCACCTTATATCACCTCTTATATTATCTAAATAATAAAAGATTACTAGAATCTTTTATTACTTACTGAACCAAATAAGGTAATGACCGGTTTAAAAGATAAATTAGCGGAGTAATCTTTTGAGGGCCCTAACCAATCGCAGCCTAGTATTTTTTATCTCATAGTAATGTTTATGTTCCACTTGATGATCAAGTAAATATTCTTAAACGTGTCCACTTGTCCACATGCCAAATTTCATTTTCTTCATAATAAAGAAAGAAAAGTTACATATACCTATCCCCAGTTTAGTGATCATACATTACGCCCAAATGTTTTAGAACTAATAAAGTCTATTATAATAAGTTCTAGAAATTAACACCTACAATATTGTAATCCGTTAAAATAAACGGTGAAAGGTAATAAAGTATTTTCATATTTATTTTTCAACATAAAACTACCCCAACTATGTGAAAAAACTAGCATTCTAAACGTTTTAGAAACTAACAAAATGGACTATCTTCCTTTACGAAAGCTGTAAATAAATTTCATACAATTACATAAAGAATAATACTTTGGGTACTAACGGATGGGTACTAATCTGTGTACTAACTAAAGTATAGTACCCGTACTATGCATATAGTACGGGTACTATACTTTAGTTAGTACACAGATTAGTACCCATCCGTTAGTACCCATAGCATCACTCTTACATAAATGACTTTTTACAACCATTTGACGATAAAACTATTTGTTAATTTTTATTGAAATGAATTAAATTTAAAATATTTGTGATAATAAGTCAAACTAAACAAATTTGAGTCTAAATTCAAAAATGAGTGTGATATATATGGGTTTTGATGCCAGATATGATTAGAAGG